GGCTGTCTAGTTTCCCATAGCTTTCCTCCCAAGGAGCAAGCGTCTTTTAATTTCATGGCTGCGGTCTTCGTCTGCGGTGATCTTGGAGCCCAAATAGATGAAGTCTGTTACTGCTTCCGTTTCTACCCCTTCTATTTGCCAGGAATAGTCTTCCAGTGGTGCTTTACTATTACTATTATTATATCCCTCCCCCAAACAATTCTCTCTCCTGCACTATTATTCAATTTCTCTTTTCCCCCTGAATCCTCCTGAATTCCTTTTTCAAAACGCGGGTCACCCATTTTATGACACAGCAAGGAATTAAACACACATACCCAGATAGTCATCCATCAGTGATCCAATAGCAAACTGCAAAAAAAAAAGAGAGAGAGAAAAAGTGTGTTACTACTACTAAAGTGGCCCCATATTATCTCCAATTTTCAGAACAGGAATTCACCCACCTTTCTCTAGGAAGACCCCAAAGGGCCACACACATGATTTTTGCATTAAAAAAGGAGTCTGCCGGAACTACAGCTCTTCTCTAAAAATAAAGCAAGCTTCGAGTCCTCATGATTGTAAGGATCAGGCTGATTTAATTTACAGTACAGGGCACTGTGTCCTGCGAAGTTGACTTTACGTCAGCCTTGTCCTCATGAAAAATGGAGAAATTGGGCCAAAACTGAACTCCTATCCTTCTTCAGGTAGGTCAAAGTAGAGGAGATCTGGATGGTCAGGTTCACCAAGGATGAATTCTACTGACCATCCAAGGATCTATTCCAGGCTCTAGCAGGGACTGAACCCGTAAGAGTCTACAAACTATGCCGATAATGTATGCTCAGTTGTGGCTTGACCAACACAGGTCAGAATCCAACCGGTGTGGAAATAGCCTGAGCCTCATCCCCGCAAACACAAAGACCCTTTGAAAGCAAAAGCTGGAAGTGGAGTCATCCGCATTTCTACTTCTCCTGTGCTGCCATTTTCACCCCAAACCACACAACGCAATCCTACCCAACTCTGTTTCTCCCCACATTTGCTCTGCGGATTTTCCCCAGATGATGTTCTGGGTCAAAACTTTAACTCTCCATCTGTGCAGGAGACGAAGGACAGATGAACGGCAGCGACTCCGAACGGCCAAAAGAAAGTCAACAGAGGGCCATCGCTCAAATGCCACAACTCACTATATCGTTCTTGTCCACCCGGGTCCCCACAATCTTCAATCTGATATTATCCTCTGGTTGGATGACAATATCCTAATTGGGGGGGGAAAAGCAGAGGGAACATTAACAACAAAACGCAAATCAAGATGGTTAGGGCAGGGTTTCCAAACCTTGGCCATTTTAAGAAGTGTGGCCTTCAACTCCCATAACTCCCCAGCCAGCATGCTTTAAGACAGGTGGCCTTCAACGCCCAGGATTCCCCAGCCAGCATGCTTTAAGACAGGTGGACTTCAACGCCCAGGATTCCCCAGCCAGCATGCTTTAAGACAGGTGGACTTCAACGCCCAGGATTCCCCAGCCAGCATGCTTTAAGACAGGTGGCCTTCAACTCCCAGGATTCCCCAGCCAGCATGCTTTACGACGGATGGACTTCAACTTCCATAACTCCCCAGCCAGCATGCTTTTAGCTGTGTGGACTTCAATGCCCAGAATTCCCCAGAGAGATTCTTCTCAGGAACAGAGAATCTACAATGCACCAACCAGTCTTAATCGCATCAGATTTGGTTGCAGATCGTGTCATCCTTTTTCTCCCAGGCCCGCAAGGGCAAAGACTCACCTCATCCACAGTCTTGTAGCACGGAGGATTGGAGTTAGTATCATACTCCATTTCTGAAGGAATCGACTAGGGGGAGAACGAGGATCAAGGATCAGCAGGGGTGTGTGGGTCCTTCGCCTCCCTCGCCCATTTCACGCAGAATCGCCCGCCCTCCTGCCTCCCCATGCACTCACGTGTCGGGAAATGAAGCAAGACATGGGTCCGATCTCAGTGAAGAGGCCGACCTGGGTGGCAGAAGCCCCAAATTAAAATATGGCTCCCCAGGGACACCCCCCAAAAAACCTCTCCTTGGTCTCCGAAGACGCACCTTGTTCACCTGAGTCACGATAGCATCCACCACCTCGCCTTTGAAAGGCCGGAAGACGATCGCTTTGTATTTCACAGGGTAAAGGACAAAGCCACGTCCCGGCTGAATCACGCCCGCCCCAATGTTGTCGATGGTGGTGACGGCGATGACGAAGCCATACCTGGAAAATTAAGAGATGAAGCCTTCTGTTCAACATAACTCTCATTTATTTCCAAAGATTATGGCCTGCTTTCCTTTTGAGCATTTCAGATATCATACAGGGCTCAACTCTCCTAGCCTCCTGGAAAGCAATTAAGATCTGTTTTTTGTTTTTTTTAATACATTAATTATTTTAAACCTGGTTTTGGGATCTGAGAGACTGCAGCGTCCTCTTCCAGAGGACGGTTATGTGTCTTACAGTTGTTCTTTGACACCTGGGTAGTTTATAATGTAGTATTTTATTTTTAATCTTATGACCATCTGGAGGTCGCTAAGCCAGTCCTGTTGGAGTGACATACATAGTCCTAAATAACTTTTTCTTTTACCATTAGATTTCCAGAAATCAATCAGCCTGTCAAGTTCTTCCCAAACAATCTAGCTACGGCTACAGGTTGGCGTTGTTTGGCCTTCCCGCCAGCTACAAATTCCCTCTTTTTGTCTTCTGGATTTTAACTCTGTTAAAAAAAAGTCGTGAGTTCATAATAGTTTTCACTTGGGCAGGCCCCTGTATCATGGTTTGCAATGCTAGCTTATGGCTCGGCACGCTGTGTGAATTCACTTACGGCTTTTTCCAATAAACCTGGGTTAAACACACTATGCCTTCTTGCCCTAGACCAGTGTTTCTCAACCTTGGGAACTTTAAGATGGGTGGACTTCAACTCCCAGAATTCCCCGGGCAATGTGGGTGGGGGGGGGG